TAGAGAGCCAGGGAGAAGTAATGGATGGCATGTCCCTGAGATGACCCCAGAGGGGATCCATGTAATGGCTCAGGATTCTGTTGTCCTGTTTTCAACCCAATAGTTTCTTCCTGGTCCAGACCCGCATCACCCTCCCTGGGCTGCAGCAGACCTTCTTCCCATCCTCCCTCTAATTCCTTAGGTTTGGAGGAGCCTGAACTTGCTCCCTCACAGCCACAGTGAGCAGACAGACACTTCGCAGTCCAGGGCCTGTGGCTCCTGTATGGACCATCTACAGAACTCCGATTCTGATTCTCACTACCATTTTCTGGGGACATCCCAAAGGTCCCCCTGGAAGGGGCCTTTGCAGTGCAATACCCAGCATGGCCTTCCAGGCCTGGGAGGTGACTGTGTCCTCAGAGTCTTCACTTCCCCAGCTTTCTCCACTCAAAGCTAAATATCCCAATACAATTCATTTCAAAACCTCACCATCCTAGTTTCTGGGGAGACAGTTAGTTACACCCTGTTTTTTTTCTAGGGCTCTCTCCCGGTATACCATGGGAGGATCCAAAAGTCAGGGTATAGTCCTTAATAACGAAAAAAATAGAAATTGAAAAGAAGAAAACTCGCCTCCAGAGATTCGATTCTGCTCCTCCCTGGTCCTGTTGTGACCCCCGCAGTCCGGGTTCTGCCCGAGAGGCCAGCGCGTCCTCCTGCTGACTTGGTGTCCGCAGCGCCGGGGACCACCAGGGGGCGCCGGGCGCCAGGAACTGGTCCCCACGCAGGCGACCTGGGTAGCGTCCTCCACGCTCACGCCAGGATGCAGCTGACCCCGGCGCTGTTCTGTGCAGACAGGGAGCCGCGGCCCTGGCCAGAGAAACGCTGACCCCACAGCCTCTTCCTCCCGAGATGGGCTACTGAAGGCCCGCGGTGCCCAGAGACTCCTCAGTGGGTGGGGATGCGAGCGTGTGGGAAGGGAGCACGTGACAGGCGACAGCGGGAGAGGCAGAGAAGGATCTCAAGGATGGGGCGGAACTGCATGCGCAGGGTGGTGCGTGGAGGAAGCTAGCCAGATATGGTGATGACTGAGAGGAATATGATCTGTTTTTTTTTTTTTTGTTTAGTTTCTATGAAGTATTGTTTTTACAGATAACTAGGTTGGATTAGAATTCCCACGTACTTTATGAAAAGCAGGCCACTGTAATATTAGAATTTTCTGAACGTTTCACACCATAGGTGAATTCTTGAAACATTGTGTATAGAATGGAGTTTACAAAATGCAACATGATATCAGGATGCCTAAGGGGGCCCCCAACTGAAAGGAAACTTGGTAGTGAAGAATGAGGTGTAGATGCTAGTGAGTAAAATTCTGATTGGAATTTAGGCAGCCACATTGTGGGTCTCTGGGAAGGGCATCAGACAAGGAGCAGAAGGAAAAGGCTGCTTCCCTGGCTGCTAGGGGTAGGACTCGGTGATATTTCCCTGAAGCAGGGGTTACAGGTGGCCCCTGGTGGTCCCCGGCCAAAGACAAGTATCTTAGGCTATTTTACACCAAATAGACTGCAAAACTGCCCCAATATGTTGGGGACAACTCAAAATTTAAGAGCAGGTCACCTTGGGAGCCGTTTCCCTAAAACATACTGATAATGGTAATAAAATTTATGCTGGCAAGAATTGTGCAATTTGCTATGAGATAGATAAGATATGGAATTTTTAATAGCAATTTTACTTTTAATACAGTTCAAATGCAGGAGGCAGATTTTCTTTCATGACTGAAATAAGGCTTCATGATTCCCAACACGTGTGCTGTACTTCTCACATGGAAACCAGGCTGAGTCAGATATATGAAAAGGAATGACAATTTAGGGCCAAACCATGGTCTCATATTGAAACAGAGTCTCCATTATTAGCTTCGTCTCTTGAGACACCAAGTAGAGCAGGGATTTACTAAATCTGGAAAGGAGAGAGAAACAACTCCTACTATGAACAGGATTTCACCTTATGAATTACCTCTCTGGCAAATAACTGTGGCAAGAAAAGACACAGTCAGTTAAATGAAAGGTAAATAAATGAAATCCATCGGGTGGAAATGATGCTTCCTAAGGTCCTATCACCCAACAGGGTACAGAAGAGACATATGTCCTCTTGCATATATAGTGTGCAACTACTACCATTATCCACTGGGTTCAATCTTCCTGTCTCAGTGCCAGGGTTCTAAAAGCAAAGATTCCACGGCCTGGAACTTGTGACCCTCTTGCCTCAGCCTCCTGAGCATCTGGGATCACAGGTGTGTGTCATAGTGCCCAAAGACGTGGATTCTTGAGGTTTGGAGGTCTCAAATTATTGCATCAATTATACACAAAAGTGTGCTTACCTCAGCTCCTCAAGACCCCTGACTGTTACCATCAAGAAAAGAGAACTTTTTGTGCACAGAGATCATAACAGCAATAGTAGAGCTGTCTTCTCCTTGGTATTTATCCAAAAGACCTAAAATCAGCATACTATATAGGGCTACAGGAACAACAGTGTTGATAGCAGCACAATCCACAATAACCAAGTTATGGAATCAACCCAGGTGCCCATAACAGATGAATGGATAAAGAAAATGTGGTGTGTGAATATATATGCCAATGGAGTTTTATTCGGTCATAAAGAAGAATAGAATTATGGCATTTGCTGGATGATGGTACTGAAGAACATCATGCTTAGTGAAATGAACCAGACTCAGAAATTCAAAGGTTAATGTTTTCTCTCACATGTGAAAGCTAGTGCAAAATAAAGGGGGGGAAAAGTGGATGGGGGGGGCATGTCCCATGAAAATAGAAGGGAGATGAAGGGGGTAGAGGGGAAGAGAGGAGAGATGGGAAAAGGGAGGAACTAAATAATGAAATTGACCAAATTATGCTATGCACATATATGAATATACCACAGTGAATCCCACCCTCATGTATATCTATAAAGCACCAGTTTAAAAAGAATACACTATGGAGAAGAAAGACAGAGTAGAAAAGGGGAACAGGAGAGTGGGGAGGGGAGTAAAAGAGAAAGTGCTGGGGAGTGAAATGGAGCAAATTATATTCCATGCATCTATGATTATGTTGAAGTGGACCCCAACACTATGTACAACTATAATTCACTAATAAAAACCTTAAGAAAAAGAGACCTTGTTGGATGCAGTGGCATACACTTGTAATTTCAGATACTTGGAAGACTGTGGAGGAGGATCACAAGTTCAAAGACAGCTTCAGCAACACAGCAAGGCCCTGTCTCAAAATAAGAGCCAGGTGTGGTGCACACACCTGTAATCCTAGCAGCTCAGGAGCCTGAGGCAGGAGGATTTTGAGTTCAAAGCCAGCATCAGGAACTTAGTAGGATCCTATCTCTAAGTAAAATATAAAAAAGGGCTGAGGATGTGGTTCAGTGGTTAAGCACCCCGGGGTTCAATACCTTGTACCAAAAAAATAAATAAAATTAAAAATTTAAAAAGCAAAAAAAGGAGGCTAGGAACCTCTGAGTCCGATCCCTGACAATAAATAAATTAATTAATTAATAAGAGCCCTTTATATTATCTCAAAGAAATCTTTACCTATGAGGTTAGGTATTATTGCCCTCACTCTACAGATGAGAAAACTGAATAAAATTATGGCATTTGCTGGATGATTATGTCATTTGATGGCTTTTTTAAAAAGCTGTCTTCAGTTTCACCATGTCCCAGTGGCAGAGCCAGAGTTGAAACTCATTTTCCTTAGATCTACACAGAAGGGTCACAGGACATTTGTCACAGTTGTCAAAAACAAAGTCTCAAAAAGCTTGATCTTGGTGAAAGATGCATGCCTGGCTGATCTAGTGAGCGTGTGTTTTGTGTGTGTGTGTGTGTGTGTGTGTGTGTGTGTGAGAGAGAGAGAGACACACACACACACACACACACACACACACACACACAGATTTTCATTGATTCCTGCTTTATCCTAAACAAGATGTGTGCTTTAAACAGAAGGAGCCAAGTGGGAGGTAGGGTCCTTGATTCAGCAGCATGAATCTGACTCAGGCTTCTTCTTAGGGCAGGTCACATTGCCAGCCAGTGATATCACAGGGATTTCAGGAAATGCACTGGGCAATGAGAATGGAAAGAGCACTGTTGAGCAGTACTTCCTTCTTCCAAAATGCACGCACAGTGGGAAAAGTAGCAAAGCTGTATGGAGGAAGGGAGGGAAAAGCAAGCCTTCTTCCCAAATTATTGGTGCATGTAGAAATGAGTTTAAATTGGAAGTGAGTTACCCTGGTCCCACCAAGAGCACAAGCTGGGTTCCTTAGGGTCTTAGGGACCAACCTATCTCCCAGGAGGAGATCTATCTGAGCCATATCCCATCCATGTCAGTGCAACCTCTTCCCACCAGTATTCCACCTGCACACTCCACCAGAGCTTCCAGACAGTCATCCTTCCAGCCAGCACTGAGATGGAGAAGATGGTGCTAGGTGACAATTGTCACTACTGTGCCATCTCCACCAATAAGCAATTGATTGTCTCTCTAAAGTAGAGGCAGAGTATTATGGAAGTAAGACCCTGGGCCCTGGACTCTGCCTTTCCCTGCTGGCTGACATATGGCAGGCGACACTTCCTTGCTTTGTGCCTGTTACAGTAAGATGGAGATGCTAATGGGACCTAAATGAATTACTTAGTGCCTGGCACCTAGAAAGAGATCAACAATGTCAGCTATGGCTGCTCTCCCCATGTGTATTTCTGTTTACAATTTCTGTATTCTTCAGATACATTCACATAAAAATGTCATCCACAGGTATTGACTTCATTTTTCTTTAGTGGAAATGAAATTTTATAGAGGTTAAATAACTGGAGTCCTGTTTTGATGAACTCGTAGCTTAATGCTGCTTTTACTATATCAAGCTTGTAAATTAAGATATATATATATTTTCATGAATTCATGCTGATATTCACACCTTTGCTGATAATCAGTGATTCCTAATTAAGAGATGTCGAGGTGTCTCTGTGCTGAGTGTCTTACCTTTGGGAGCCTGTACTTTTCCCTGAGGTGGACTCTCAGGCACGCCCTCTCTGCCTTTTTTTGTGTAAACGCCGCATCTCTTTCCATCCTAAAAGTTAAAGAATAGGATAAAGGATCATAAGGACACAAGAGCCCAGGACATTTTAGCCTTTGCTCAGAGGAGCTGGACTCTGAGACCCCAGAGTCCCCACTGCTGGCAGACTCCAGGAAACGTGGGATTTTCTCCCCTGCACCCCCTAATGTCTACCCCTCTTACTCCACTGACATCACTTAGTACAGCCCCCTAAGTCCCCAAGACAGCTTGGGTCTGGGAATCTCTGTGTGATGTAAACCCAGAGAGGGGCAGGTGACAACTTTTAATGTGTGATTGCTCAGGGCCTTCATGGCCCAGACCCAGGAGCCTCAGACTGGCCTGTCAAGAAGGTAGCTATTTGGGTCTGATCCTAGTCCTGTGTGTGTGTTTGTGTGTGAGACTCTCTGGGGTGGGGGAGTGGAAGCTACATTTCTAATAAGCCCCCTGAGTGATTCTAAGGTAAGCCAAAACAGGGGTGTCCTATCTAGGATGAGGACATTCTTTAGAGGCCCATGGCCTTTGGAGATGTAATATAAAACTATTTCCCATCACTAATACCCACTCTAGGCCCCAACTGTTAGAAAGAGATATCCCCAAATAAAATAGGTTAGATTTCTGTAATGTCAGACTGGTATACTGCCCTACAGATGACCTAATTGGACCCTTTCTTATGGTTAGAAATGGACTCCCTTGCTTATGATGAGCCAGTCAAAAAGCAGAGACCTTTGGGGACATGTGCAAAGCTTGCAAGAACCCTGCCTTCCTGGTGGCTCACAGAAGTGCATTTTTGGTGGCCAATTTATACATCTGACGCTGCTCTCTGGCTGCATTGGGTTGGACCAAGTTGGGTAAATGAAATCTCTTTGAGAATTTGGGTTTGGGACTGAGAAAGACAGAGACTTGAAGAGTGGCTAGAACTGTAACAGGCGAACTTAAAGGCCATTAGCTGCCATTTTCCTTGTGGTGTGGGTGCTAGAGGGAGCACTGGAAAGGGAGATGACTGCTGAGAAAAAAAAAATGGCAATGTCGTGGTAGAAGCAAAAGCAAGAGATGGAAAGAGTGGCCCTGGCTTCTCAGCAGCCTCTGGCTCCTGGTTGAGGTCAAGTGAGGCCTGGATGGATTTCTGTTCCTGGGCTTGGTGAAGGACATCAGTAACTAAAATTACATATTTATTTACAGTTTCTTTTTCTTTATTTTGAAGTGAAATTTGCATACAATTCCATGCACAAATCTTAAGCATACCATGGAATGATGCTACTACACCTGTGCATCCTCAGGCCCTACCAAGATCTAAAACGTTACTCCTGCCTGAGAAAATCTCATTTTTTTCTCTTCTAGAACTTCATATAAACAGAACCACATACTTCATGTCCTTCTGTGTAGTGTTTCCATCCCTCAGCATAAAGAGCTTCCAGATTCATCCATGTCTATTTATTAGTAGCGTGTTCCCTTTTATTGCTGAGTAGTATTCTGTGTACAAATACCATGGTTTATTCATTTCTCCTGTTGTATATACTAGACTTATTTCCCATTTTAGTGAATGAAACTGCTATGAACATGTTTGAACAAATATTTTTGTGGACATGTATTTTCATTTCTCCTAGGCATGGAATTGTTGGGTTGATAGGTAAGTTTAGTTGAAGATGTTTAATCTTATAAAAAATAAACCTTTTTCCAAAGTGGTAATACTGTTTTATATCTTTTTAAGCAGAATAAAAGTTCTGGTGGTTTCACATTTTGGCCAATATTTTATATTTCGGGTCTTTTTAATTTTAGTCATTATGGTGTATATGTTCTGGTGATCTCCTGTGATTTTAATTTTTTGAATTTCCATGATGACTAATGATATTAAGGAGCTTATTCCCCATTACTAATTGGTGATGTGTATATATATTTGTAAAGAACTGTTCTTTTAGGCATTTTTTTTTTATTATTAAGTTGTTAAGAGTTCTTCATACATCCTAGATCCTAGTTCTTTGTTAGGCATATGTTTTGTAAATATTTTCTCTTAGTCTGTGATTTGGCTATTTTTTTTTCCTTTCTTTTCTTTTTTCTGGGTACCAGGGATTGAACTCAAGGGTGCTTAACCACAGAGCCACATCCCCAGCCCTTTTTATGTTTTATTTTGAGACAGGGTATCACTAAGTTGCTTAGAGCCTCACTAAATTGCTGAGGCTGACTTTGAACTTGTGATCCTCCTGCCTCAGCCTTCCCAGCCACAGGGATTACAAGTATGTGCCACCATGCCCAGCCCTATTTATTTTTCCTAATGTCTTCTCATGTGCAAAAACTTAATTTTAAGAGGGCCTAATGTATCATTTAAGAATTTTGTGGTTATTGCTTTCTGGGTCATGAGAAAGAAACCTTCGCCTACTTCCAAGTCTCAAAAATATTCACATTTGTTTTCTCTAAAAGCTTTATAATTTCAGCTTCTATGTTTAGGTGATAATGCAAATCAGACTAATTTGTGTACAGTGTGAAGTAAGGGTCCAAGCTAAATGTTTTTTAGTTGTTTCAGCACCATTTATTGAAATGGCTTTCCTTTCTTCTTTATTATTTTGGCATCTTTGTTGAAAATCAAATAACTATATAAGTTTACTGTCTATCTGAATACCCTAAGACTGGGATTCCAGTCTCTGAGTCACTGAGAAAAGCTGCATTCTGTTTATAGTCTCATGGAGCTCATCTTCCCAAACAGAGTATAAATTTCTGCAGAAGAAAACCCACATCTTCCATTTTGGTATCCTTCTCACAGTGCCCAGTCCGGAGTGGAGGCTCCAAATGATAACTAAAGAAACCTAAGTTCAGGGTCAAGTTGCAAATGGTACCAGAGCAAGTATTGAACCATTGCTAAGTAAAGGAACACTCCTGCCTACCTGAGAAAAGTGGAGGGATAAACAGACTCTCGTTTTCCTTTTCAAGGATTTCTTTTCTAAATCTTCTCTTTAAGTATTGACTGCTTTTGGGACCAATGCTACCAGTTGTTGGGGAAGACACACAGGAAAAGAAAACCGAAGGTGCTGTATTGTTAAGTTTTTTTGTTTACAATTAATAGAAGTCGACCCCACCTTTCTAAAACAATGAGGACAGGTTAGGAGGCTTCATTTCCTAACTTTCATTAGGCTTATGATAGACCACACTGTCTATAAGTCTCTCCCCATTTAACTTGTGGCTAGTAGGCATTTTGGAAGGCTACTTCTTTCTATCATATTCTAGTTGGTGAAGCTCTTAAATGCTCAGGCCAGTGGTGGGCGGGAGGTCCTCCCTCTTGCCATAGGGAAGCAGCTGCCCTGCTGTCTTACCACCATTCCTTAAATTGGGTGACTACATAAATGTTTAATATTCTCATGCACACACAAAAATCTAAGCCGTTGACAAATAAGCAGGTCTACTGACTGCTGCCCATACCATTTGGCAACTTTGAGCTTTGATCTATTCATATGTCAAGTTAAGGAAAACTAGGGCATTCGTTAATCAAATGGATGCCATCTCTGTGGCCAGATGTATTGCTGGGGCATATTAAATGATACTTTGTGTAATCAGATAGACAGTCTAAATTACTGACCATTTTCATTAGCCCATTTGAACTGAGACTGAATGATTTTATTATTCAATTTCTTCATTATACTTGATTTTCTTTTACACATTTTATACACAAAGCTGGCCATTACTCAAAGAACATTGCTTTTTTTGCCCAACTGGTGCCACCAACACCAGTTTTGCTGTTGCAACTACTTTTTCTTTTTTAACTGATTTTAATTTATTGCAGAGCAATGATGCATTCTAGGGAACCTTTATAAGCTTTCAGAATAAACAATAGATGAGGTTTCCATTAGCTGTAGGCTTTGTACTTTCTTAGTTTTCTCCAGGTCGTTAACCTTTTCACCTATAATCATCTTAGCAATAGGACTTAGGCAACTATTATGTAATTGGTCATCCTCCTCCTACCAAGTAAAAAGTTTTCAAATTGTGAGAATTCAGACTTTATCCCTAGAAGAGGACCTTAAAGATTGCTAGCAAAATAGCCACGGTAGCAAAAAAAGAAATGCTTTTCTTCTGTAACATATGATGAACATTTAACCTCCAGATTGATACTTTGATTTTTAGCTGATTATTAAAAGACTCTTAAATTAATTCCATTTTAAACAAATCACACATAGATTATACTTATTTAAGGATGTTTTCATCCTTAAACTATAGGTGACATTCCCAATCCATAATACCCAACCAAAATGTTACTGATATTTTATATTTTACTCTCATTGCATTTATATAGCCAGGAGAATGCTCTCATTGTTAGAGGTATAGGGCTAAAATACTTGGTGACAAAGTTATCATGATATCTGTAATTTACTTTAGAATATTTATTTAATCTATAAGCAAACATGGCAAAATGTTAACTATTGCCTTATGTGAGTATTCATCATACTATTCTACTTTTCTGTACATTCAGAATCTTCCTAATAATATAATAATATAATCCACAAATATATTCATAGTCTTTGATAAGTCACATCTTATGATGTAATCATCATGTTGTGCTTTCTGGGCCTTTTAATGCAAGATCAAGAAAGCTGCTCTGGATGTTCTTTAAGGGATAAAGTCTGAATTCTCACTATTTGAAAACTTTGTACTTGGTAGGAGGATGAATTTCAGAAAGATCACAAAGATAGACTCATCAACGTATATTTGAAGAATTAAACTAAGGCCAATAAAACATGCCTGGACCATACAGTGTTAAGATGCATTAGGAATGGCATATTGGTCATTTCATATTTTTCACTGCACAGTAGTGGCTGCACACAGTAGTTGCTGATGCTAAGGACTAAGGAATGGTCCATTTTGTGGATCAAACATTCCCCAGGTTAGAGGTCAATGGTCAAAGGAGAAGCATCGTAAAAAGCATAGAGCAATGCATGGGGGGACCAGGATGTATCTGCTGGCTTTGTAGGGAAAATGGAGCTGGGTACTCACTTCTCCTCAATCACTTGCTTCTGATATTCCTCATACTCCTCTCTGGTCATCCCGTGAGCTGCTGCTGGGTCCGATGCACCTCCTTCTTCTTTCTGTTCTTCAGACCCACCACCAAATCCTAAATTCTTTACCTGGCTACTTATCATACTTTTCACCATGAAAGCCATTGTCTCTGTCCTAGAAAAAGAAAGCTAAACCTCAGACAAAGCTCAAAAAAACAAACCGACGAAATGAACCCAAACCCAAACCTAGATATCCTCAGCGACAGCGACACGTTTAGGAGCACAGGATTTTGCACAGCCTCCTCTGCTCAAGGGCATCAGGCGGGGAAGAGTGGTTTGCCAGACGTAAGCTGGATTAGAGTGGGGACCGCCTTAGTGTACAGGCAGATGGCTCCGATTACTAAAGCCACAGTTAGGGTCAGATGCGACCGACTCCCTTCTGATTGATACACTCAGCTCATTTCATGAGGAAGAAACCTGCACTTCTAAGCCTCTCTCTCCCTGTTTTAAAATTTTACATTATTATTATTATTACCATTATTATTTTTGCAGTCCTGAGATTGAACCTAGGTTCTTGCTTATGCTAGGCAAGTGCTCTACCACTCAGCTATATCCTGGCCCTGGAACTTTAAATCATAAATGTAGCAGGGTTCCATTGAGAGTCCTGTCTTGATTACATTAATCAGAGCTGATTATATAGCTGTTGTGGGATTTCCAAATTCTAGCCCTTAAACACAACATTGCCATTGAAACCTGAGTCCATTGAGGCTCAAATCCTGAATACTTCATTAAGCAAAATAATTGTTTTGGTCCATATTTTATCTTGCTGAACTCTGTGCAAAGGTTTGCTTTTTGGTTTCCTTGAGTTTTGCATTGTTTCAGTGGTGACTGTGTCCCACACAAAAATACACTACTGAGGCAAATGATCTAAAGGACCAACCGTGGTCCTTAGTCTACACTGGATGATTGTTTAGTCTCCTGCACGGGAGCTACTCCCACCTGGAAAGGACATGTTGGATACCTCCAAGACTCTAATCTGGAGGGAAGAACACGTGTGAGCTGAGTCATCAATATGCTCAGGGTCACTTTCCCCCCTAGTGTAGAGTCCACCTCCTGGGAGCTCTAGCCAAGCTCACCAATGTACCTCGGTACAAACTTAACTGTCCCAGATTCTCTCTGGCTGTGGTTTTCTTCAGGTCAAGGTAAGAATTGAGGATGGCTAAGTCTTTAGTCACGTTTCTAGTTAAAGCATTCCAGGAGGGACAGTGGAGGGAGGGAAGAACTACAACCTATTTGTAAGCTCTACTCATTATTTCTCAGAAGCCACAGCCCTTCTGAAGAGATGAACATCCCTCAGGTTGTATGGTATCATTTAATTTGGATTTTTGCCTAAAATGTTTGCTTTGTATTTTTAAGGTCTGCTTTCTCTTTGACTCATCTTTTACTAATCTGTTTTGAAATGCTGCTAAAATGCCTCAATATGAAAAATGAGCAAGAATAATCTATGGTGAAATAAAGACTTCTCATTTTCATTGATTTCATTGCTTGCTCTCCACCCATTCCATTAGAATGAAAGCTCCATGAGATGCAGATAGTTTTGTTCACTTTTATGTACCCATCCCTGAGAATCATGCTCTGCATGTAATAAAGTGGTTGATATGAATCTTGGGGGGGAATTAATGAATAATGTGATTAGGTCTAATGACTTATTTTTAAGCAATTCACTTTTTTTTTTTTTTTTTGCACGGGCGGGTGGGGGGTACTGGGGATTGAACTCAGGGCACTCAACCACTGTGCCACATCCTCAGCCCTATTTTGTATTTTATTTAGAGACAGGGTCTCACTGTTCTGAGTTACTTAGCTCCTTGCCTTTGCTGAGGTTGGCTTTGAACTCGAGGTCTTCCTGCCTCAGCCTCCAGAGCTGCTGGGATTACAGGCATGCACCACAGTGCCCAACAGCAATTCGCTTTTAACGGCAGTACTCAAGATACTACCTGGCAGAGTAGGGGGCACCTGGAGTGTTACCTTTAGTAGGTATATACCCTTGGTGCTTTACAAGTCAAGCCACAGGGGTCACTGCCTTCTTTGCTGGCTGCCAGAATAAGACTGCTAGCTACAGTTTAAAAAAATCATTTCTCATCCTGATTTAATGGATCACCTTTGCAAACAGTGATTAGTTGTGACTTAATGCATCTGGGAAAATGTGATAGCATCTGACCCAGAGAATTTACTAGAGAAGCAATAATCCCAGTAGTGGAACAGAATTTTAGAAAGATATCACATTCAAACATCACAAATCCACTTAGGTCCTTCTGTTATGATTTTTCTTTTCACATTTAAGCTTAATTCTGTTTCTGTAATTAAGGTTGGTTTGTGGTCTCATTTCGTTTTTGATCTTCTCTGAGGAAATCATGGCCAGTAGATTGTCCTGGCTCAGTTGCCACACCCTCTCAGTGGATGGCACAAGAGCATCTCAGGTGAAACCATGCAGCTAACCTTCATAAAAAGTCAGCAGAACTGGCAGAGAAAAAAGGTCACCAAGTGCTGAATGTAGAGGTGAATTAAAGATGCAACCACTGAGATAGATTCTTGATCTCTGTTCTAACTGGGACAAGAGGTAATATTAGGAATTACAAGAACCATGATGAAAACCAAGAGCAAATTAAATATGTAGTCCTAATGAGAATGACTGCCAACTGGAGAAATGTTAGTTGTTCTTGTTTTATATTATAGATACTTTATACATAATTAGTGAGCTATATTGAAATGACAGGCCAAATAGCATGAGTCTTTTCATTTCTATAGAACTAGTCAATACTTTTGTAGACACAAACCCACAGTTATACACCAGCTATGCAAAGAGATTTCTCAATCACTACAGGAAATTTTTTAAATTGAATTACAGAACTTAAAGATCCTTTTATGAACCATCCTGAATAGCTGTAATCAGATAGGTTGTAAGACCATTTGGAATGGTGCCCAGCACATCTTAACTATCTCTCTCAAAATGACCATTTTTAGGAAATGCATCTCAAGTTGATCCTTCCAATCTTCTAGTAATATTCATTAATATTATATTGACATTGTTTTGAGATCCCTAAAGCATTTATCTGGTCGATACTTTTGTGACTAGTCTATTTCAGCTCATACTATCACTTCTTGTTGGGGTAATAATTGTATTCTATTCTGTATCCTGTCACAGAACTTCCATGCAGGTAGAGAGTGGTAAGCTGGTATAAAGTTGGTGGTTGTTATTCTCAGCAGGACAGGCTGGTCTCCAGGATCTGGTTAAACTTCCATGTTGGTACCACATGGAAGGGAAGATGAGCTGGGAACCAAAGACTAATTTCCTAACTTATTGTTGACATAGTGGGTCGACCAGTTTGACCTGAGCTATGCCCATGCTTGGAGTGCAGGTATACTTGGCAAATTGTAGCAACTGTGGGGTGCCTTGCTTAGACTGTTTGCAAAGAAGCACTAAGGAGGCCCTTAGAAGCAGATATCAGAGCTTGTCTCACAAAGTGTTCCATCTCATAGGCATGACATTTTGAATATGTTCTCTTTTACTCAGGTTTATCCTGAACAAGGGCCATGAACTCCTTATAGCTATTCCTGTAAAGATGAACCTATAATTAAAAGTGAACAACTGTTCTGAGAACTCTGGCACGGGGCCCTCATATTACTGCTTTTGTACTTTCTTGGCAGAAAGTAACGTGCAGATGGAAGAAAGGCATTCTTCGTTTGTCCACAAACCATCTGTAGTAGTATTTTGTGCTAACAAACTACTGGTGATAGTCTTGTGCTAGCTTGTCCAGGTAATGGGCTGTCCAGATATCTGAATAAATGTTATTTCAGGCGTGCCTGTGAGGGTGTTTATGGAAGAGATTAGCATTTGAATTGGTGGACTAGGTAAAAACAGATGACCCTTCCTAATGTGGGTGGGCATTAATCTTTTTGGTGAAGGCCTAAACATGCCTGAGAAAGCTTGAATTTTCTCTCTGCTTGACTCCTTGAACTGGGACATTGATATTCAGCTGCCCACAGCCCTCTTGGTTCTCAGGCATTCAGACTTAGATAAAATCTATACCATTAGCTCTCTGGTTCTCAGGCCTTTGAACTACACCACTTGCTTCTTGAGTCTCCCAATTGCAGATGGCAGATCATGGGGCTTAGCCTCCATAATCACGAGACAATTTCTTAGTATGTGTGTATTTTTTATATATATAAAAAATGTTTTACAAAAGTTTAACACACAAACACACACAATTGGTCCTGCCTTTCTGGAGAACTCTAACACAGACCCATATGGCTGGCTCCTGGAAGCCTACATTACCTCTGTGGGCATGGCAGCCATGAGATGCCTGATCAGACTGCAGAGTGGCTGCAGTGCATGGGAGGAGGGTGTAATTATGCCCAAGAGCAGCAATGGGAGCTAGTATGATGGAACTTGGCAGAAATGGTGCTGCTGCTGAGCTGACATGGCAGCAATGGCAGAGCCCAGAAAAATGAGTAGTGATGGCCAGCAAAGGGGCACGCAGCCATCGGGGGCAGCAGGACCCAGTGGAAACAAAAGGGGTTCAGAGGAAAAGAGAGAAGAAAGAACAAAGGCATGTGGTAGCTAATCAGGCAGCTGGCTGGACATGCAAGGATCTGAGAAACTTAACAACTCTTAACACTGTTGAGGACTGTTCCCTTGTCAACAACTCACGAGCAGGCAGAGAAAGAGCCAAAGGCTTAGGGTGCAGTGCTCCGAGTTCAATCCCATAAAATAATAATAGCTGACATTTATTGGGCACAGGCATCCAGTTTGCAGGTTCTGTTTTGGTGCTGTTATAATTCTATCTTACAACTCAAAAAATTGAGGCATAGTTATTAGTAGAGTAGAGGAAAGGGGATGGGGGAGGGAGGAGAAGAGGGAAAGGCTAAGTACTGAGGACTGAATTAGAGCAAATTATATTCCATGCTTGTATAATTATGTCAAAATGAACTCTTAATATTGTGTAACTAAAATGAACTAATAAAAAATAAATTGAGATATGGAGCTGTCCTGACCCCAAGTTTCTTGGTTATTTTCACTTAGAAAGTTGCATCAAATTCCAGGCCCCAAATGGAGCTCAACTTCTTCCCTCACCTCAACTCCCACCCGTTTTCCTGGGCTCCTTATTTTAGGGCTTGGTACCATCCATCCAATTCCTTGAGCAAGAAACAAAATCCTACATTCTTCCTTCTCATTTGCTTCCCCTATCAATCATCATTAGATGCCTGCTATGGTCTGAATGTTTTGTGTTGCTCCAAAATCCATATTTTGAAATTCTAACCCCCAAGTAATGTATGGGGGTGGGCTTTGGAGGTGATTGGGCCATGGGGTGGAGCCCTCATGAACCAGACTAGTGCCCTTATTAAAGAGGCCCAAGCAAGGTCCCTTGCCCCTTCTGCCATCTGAGGACATAGCAAAAAGACAGCCATCTACAAAGCAAGTCATCAGGACACCAAAGTTGCCACTTTGATCTTGGACCTCCCCATCTTCTACAACTGTAGAAATACATTTCTGTTGCTCATGAGCTACTTAATTTATGATATCTTGTTATAGCATCCTGTATGGACTAAGACAATGTTATTATTATTATTTTTTCTTGTATTGGGGATTGAACTCAGAGGCACTTGACCACTGAGCCACATTCCCAGCCTTATTTTGTATTTTATTTAGAGACAGGGTCTCACTGAGTTGCTTAGTGCCTTGCTTTTGCTGAGGCTGGCTTTGAACTCGTGATCCTCCTGCTTCAGCCTCCTGAGCTGCTGGAATTAAAGGCATGCACCACCATGCCTGGCTTATTAGTTTTATCTCTACTATTGCCATAAGTTTTCTACTTTCCAGTTTTCACTGTCTTGGCCTCTTATCAGGCCACCATTTTCCACAGGGAGCAAGTTTCCCTCCAATCTATTCTCCACGAAGCAACCAACTGCAACGTTTGAAATGCAAACATCCTTTACTTAAAACTTTCGTGGCATCTCACTACCTTTTGGATGAAGTCTAATCTAACAGCCTACAGCTTTGAAATCCAATCATCAATTTCCCCTTTATTTTCTGGCGTAACAGGATTGATTATAGGTTCTCAAATAAACAACACTGCTTCTTAACTCCTGGCTTTAGTTCACGTCACTGTGTCTGCCTAGCATAGGTTCTCTTGCAGCCCTCCCTACTTGCATAGCCCCCATACTATCACTGTGGGAGTTAGAATTCCAAAATATGAATTTTAGAACAACACTAACATTCAGATCATACCAAGCATCTAATGATTTAGATAATGTCTGTGGGAAGCCCCCCGAAATCTGCCTTCTGATCTCTTGTAGACTCAGTTTTCTATGTGCATCAGTTCTGGAAAATTCTATTTGTGAGTAGTCATCCCACAGTTCTCCCTATTCCTTCTAGTACCTCTTGGGGATTTATATTATACCTCTCTATCAACTGCCAATTTCTCATATTTTGCATTTTAATCTCTGTGATGCATTCTCTGTAATTTTGTTCAGACTTCTTACATATAATGCAATCATTTTTTCAGCAGTGTCCAATTTCATCCTTCTGCCCATATTTAAGTTCTCTGGGTATTAAACTACCAGATAACTTCTTACTCTTACTTCTTTTCAGTGTTCCCTTCCTTCCTTATAATTTCTAGTCTAAATAAACTCAAGTCTTTTAAAGTCATTTACAGTGTACATATTGGTTTTCTTTGTCACTGTTACCCCAGATTCTTGGAGGTGCCAAGTTTTCTATTTACTATTTCTTTCACATTTTTCTTGTTTGGTGTATGATTTTTTGAGCTCATTTCAGTTAGGACTAGATGTTCCGGGTTGTCTGATGTGCTTTTGTTGTGGAATTATTGCTAAAGAGTGCTTTTGTTTTGCCTCCTCCTGGAATTTACCAGACCAGAACTAATTTAGTTTTGGCTTGGAAAATTCCACACCATGCAGGTCATTTGGATGCTACAATGGCATAAAGTATGAGGCTGGGTCTTTAATTTCTTATAGAGAATTTTGTGCCCTATCCAGAACCCCAAGGAGAGATGATTGTTATGTTTTCTCTTGTCATCAGGGTGTAAGGTTCTGTCAGCCCACTTCCACTGAAGGAGCAACTTGCCAGGGTCCTAACTTTATCTGAGCATCTTAGCTCAAACCTAATGGGTTTTCCAGGCCCAAAATCACATCCCTTAAGCTCCAACTGAACATATCCTCCAACCACAGTATCAGGGCTTATATAGTTTAGTTTTTGCTATCCTTACCTCTAGCAAGCTCCCTAATCAATCTTTAAATTCTAATTTCTTTCACACTCATCTATGTATTTAAATCTTTTATCCAGCATTTCTTTATGTTTATAGAGGAAAGGGATCCATTAACTTAGTATGTTACTTTTTGAAATCTCTTTATAAAGACTCTCTTTTACAATGCTAACAACCATGTAAGATTATGATGATACTGAAAACCACCTCTAGCAAGTTGCAGAGCCAAGACTCAAACCCAGTTTCACTAGGTTAATGGTATTTGGGGGAAAAAAAAAGATTTAAAAAATTGCCAGTAACTAATAACAACAAAGAGTTCCAGCTTAACTATACTTTTGCCAGCATTTGGTTATTGAAGGTGAAAACATCAAATATATTGTTTTAATATGTACTTTTCATTACCAGCAAGAGTAAATATTTAACAAATGTCATTTCTACTTTCTCCAGTTTCCCTTCCATTTGTTGACGCCACAGGAGGCAGATCACCTAAGACAAAGCACAGATGACAGATAAATGAAGTTCTATTGCAGATCAGAGCTTATTTGGAAAACGAAAAGCTACTTATTACCTGAGATCAATGAAGAAAATAGCAAACTACTAAAATATTTCTTTATTTGAATAAGGTCAGTGTCATTTTTTAAATTCCAGCTAGCATAAAATAACAATCAGGAAAAAAAAAAACAAACTTGACAAAATGTTATCCAATTGAAATTGACAGTGGATAGAAAATCCTTTTAAATTTTTAAGTAATATCATAAAAGAAATATATTAAACAGGCAACACACAGATCTAAAAAGTTGCAAGAGCTGATTTTACACTAGATCTTATAAATAAAAAAAATCCCCAATATAATAATTTGTTCACTATCTCCCTTTGACAAATACATGGACAGGGAAAGATAATCACATCTTAATATTCACAACTGCTTTATGTTCTTTACAAAGACCACATCTCTGCAAAGTGGCAGGGCAGGCAATCCCTTATTCAAGTAATTTCTGTTTTCCCCACGTTATCAAAAAGTACAGTTGTCTGAGATGAAACATCAGCACAATCACAACAAGAAAGCAAGGGCTTTAGCTGGCAGGCTTCAAGATGGGAGTTTCCATGGCTTGACCAGGATCTGAACATAAGCCGCCACCAAAGTACCAAGAGCTACAAGTAATAACCTGGATTTAGTTTGTAGTCACTAATGAACCAAGAATTTTAGTAAAAGAAACATTAAGTAAATTTTACATATAAAAGAATCAGTGCACATTTGCTAATAATTTCATTGATAATAAAAAATATTATGCTCTCAACTCAGCATTAAGCCAACAAAAGACCTATTTTTCACTCTCCATTTTAGTGGTTCTCAACCATTAGTGTGCTCAGAATCATCTGAGATGCTTGTTGAACACTGATACTCTGAAGCCCTCCCACCCCTGAGTTTTAATACAGGTGATTTGGAATGGGGCCCTGAAATCTGTATTTTAAACAAGCACTCCATGACCCAGTCTGGTCCATGGACTATACTTTAAGAAACACTAATATGCCTTTAACACATAACAGAACATTGGTTATTGTGACTTCATGGTAAAGTTTCAAGCTGAATAAAACATTCAAACAATTGGAATACAAATAAGTATATTAAATAAGGGCATCAGCCATTATGTAATTGAATTTTCTTTTTAAAAGTGGCATCATAAACACAACAACTTACATTAAAATTTTTAAATAAATTTTGTTTTAATCCAAGGCACCTGTAAAATACTTGCTGGTGTGAGAGAAGTGACTAAATTCAATTATACATAATAGTACAAAAATGAAAAAATTCTGGCAGTGATTGATTTTTCCACGACCGAAACACTTTGTTAAAAAATGAGCTACTTGATGATTTTGAGGAAAACAAATTTCAAATAATAAGATAAATGTCCTACATGAACTATTTTACTGATTTTCAAGCAAGTTAAATTAATAAGAAAAAAAATTCATGCTCATTCTCTTTCATAACAACCATCTCCACTAGTATTAGGAACAATCAGAAGAATTCCCCTTGAATTCTAACCTGAAAAGTGTATACTGCATAGATCCTGTATTTCTTTAATGTTCAGGCACATGTAACCATGGGCTTTAAAAAATACTGGACTTGGCAGCCTTTATCTCAAGAGGATTTCCCAAGTTCCACAGTATATAACATATTCTTCTGAGGGTAGTTATTTTTTTTTCATGGAATATGAGTAAATTCTGTGATGAATGATGTCTCCGAAACATGAATTTCAAAATGTTAACACAAAGGAGAAATGTGAGAGGAACTTTTTCAACGTTGAAGTGACCGAAGTAGAGTGAGTCGTCATTAGTTATTCTCTTTCTGTGTTCTAGGATAAACACTTACACAAGAAGCAATCCAAGACTGTTTGCGCACACAGTGCTAGTTAGGTACTGCTATACTGCACAGTTCTTCACGAAGTCTTTATAGAAATTTTAGGTCATTAGCCCAATCTGTAAATGACATTTGAGAGGAATCTTGGGAAGGCTTGGAAGAATTCAATAGTACTATTTTATAAAACAGTATTACTCTCGATCCTATGGCAAAGGAAAGAGAATCAAATCACTTTAGGTAAAAGAGTATTTTGAAGCAAGCAAAAGTAAGTCTACATCAGGTGTGAAAACAAAAACTAAATCTGTATTTATAAAATGTCATTTACAGATGGTTTCTCTAATACCCAGAACTATGTACAAAGACTATAAAATCTCCTTCCAGTCTAACATTTCATGGTTAAGTTTACTAACAAGTGCTTTACAACATCCTTAGTTCTGGCATTAAAAGGAAGAAATCAGAAGTATTTTGCTCTATTTTTCAATTTTTGCCTTCAAAAATATTAAAACTGCTTCTAAATCAAGCCTCCTTAATGTAAGAGTACACAAGGAGTAACAAATCCTGGGTTACACAGAGTAATGTAAACCACAGTGTAGTGGTAGGTTTTGTGAACTCAAAATATTCTTAAAACATGCAATCTGAGCTGAAATTCATTGGACAAAATGAGAGAAATAAATTCCTTAAATTAAAAATATAAGTACAAACAAATTATTTTTTATAATATTGAATGAAGACACTCAAGAATATGGGCCATCCTGAAATGAATACATCACCAGGCAAAATAACCATTAAAAACTATTATCAGAGGAATGTTTTCATTTAAGTGACTTTTTAGGCAAAATGCAGCTCTTAATTTTTCCCTAAAATTTCCTTTAACGGTGAGATGTAGCATTGATAATCAGAGGGAAAAACATTTCATTAAACATTCTGAAGCTTATTAACCACATCATAAAGCTCCGAGACAAAACATTCTTTGATTCCAGAGGGAGCTATATTAAGATTAAAGAACTGCAAAGCCAGGTCTTAGTTTAGGAAATTCCAACCTTTAAGACTTTGGTGACAAAATACGATGGAGAGCTGTTACTGAGACCCATATTCTGGGAGGCAAGAGGACAAGTGTGTTTATGTTAAATAAATAAGCCTCTCCATATTAGAGACTTAGTGGGTTACACTCAGATCCATTTTCTATTATTTCTATTTTTTATTTTCTAGTATTTATCCTCTTGTCAATATTTATTCAGTGGCTACATTCTACTAACCAGTTCACTGAAATTTAAACAGATTTATGTACTATGAATAAATTTACATGTGGTTATCTTTAAGGTTTATTCTTACCGAAAAAAAAAAAATCAATGTTTAAACAATGTTTTATTTTATATAAAATTTAATAATTTAGACTATGAAGTAATTTAAATACTTAAAAGTCCCTCAAAAAGACATTTTGTACATACATACATGATGTACACACATGAAAATGGTGGTCAAAAGAATTTTTTGGCAGCTGCTTCTTGCTGAGTCCTACAAAAAAAAGAAAAGAAAAAAGAAAAAAAAAACTGAAAGAAGTTCTTCACATTAAACTTTGGAAAGAAACAGGATTGCTTAAAATATTGATGCCTTTGAAATATAAAATACATTAAGATAAGAATATATTCTATGTATGTACTCCAAATGTGAACTGAAATAGACTAGAAATAATATTTGCTTTGTATCTGAAAGTTGCATTATGGGTATATATAACTTCATATAGTATTTTAAATTAAACACAGAAAATAATTATGTCAAATTTCACGGAGACTCACCTATACATGATGTAACCAATGAACAGCAGTGTCTGTACAATTACAAATACGATGAAGTGAACCGTCGATAAACATGATGGAAATGGTGGTAGTTCTGGGCATTTTGATCTTTCATTGGACGGCTATAATTATAATTAGTCAAATTAGTAGCTTGGAAAAAGACATACATGAAACTTTATAAAACTTGTGGTTTATTATACAAACAAGTATTTTGATTAATTCATCCCTAGAAATATCTTCTATCACTTCAACTTTTCCTTTTTTTTTTAATTTAAAAATGAAAAAATTTTTAAGAGTAGTTGACATGAGATGGTTTCTACCTTATCACACTGCCTTCTGGCTCTTGTCTTCACTAAGGATGATGATGATTTTGAAAGTTTTAGAGATGAGAAGTAATACAAACCACATTCCCCTGGATACTTTCAGTGCACACTTGCTGCACTAGTGTGTTTACCAATAGCCCACCCTTCACTTTCAAAAGTGTTTCAGTTCAGAAAATAAATGGTACAGTTATCTTGCCAATAAACTACAAACATAATAGCTCTTACTTACCATCATTCTCTCCAATCTCACAGCATTCAATATTACTCACTACTGTTCTAAAAAACATTTCTCTTCCTATTCCATGTGTATTGTTCTTGATATAGTTACATCTACCCAGCACAGTTCTTCAGGACATATATATTACCCAAACCATCCTTGGCCTTAGCCATGGATCAGAGAAGATACTAAAATGGTAATCAGAGAATATTTTCATTGAATGATAATGTAAATCCTACATATAAAACTTAACAAAGAAATCAAAATATATAGAAATTTGAAAGACATGGACCAATTCTACCCTGAATAATAAAAATGAACTTCAGCTAGCTGGGCATGATGGGATGATCACAGGTTGGAGGCCAGTCTAAGCAACTTAGTGAGACCTGTCTCAAAATAAAATTAATTAAAAGGGTTGGGAATTTAGCTCAGTGGTATAGCCCCAGTACCCGCCCCCCCCCCCCAAAAAAAAGGTATTAACACTAACTAATGTTAAAATATTTTCAGCAGAATAAAAGTAGACCATGCATTCTTCCTTTTCTAAGGAAGTCTATAACAGTTACAGATAAAGAAACAAAGTTACCACATTTCGCTGTACTAAGATGTCTATGTCCCTCTTCACTATGTGCAGGTGCTCCTTGATGTCCATAAAGTGCTGTGTGGTCTCATAGACTCCTCCTGCAGAACTGGGGTGCTGTATTCCACTGACCAGTCTGACAGTTTCACTCATGGAATTCCTGAAACAGAAAATCTCTTTATATAATGAAATCACTAAAAAGATGATTGACTTTTTCAGTCACAGATTTCAAATGGTTATACTTTTTGAAGCTTAATAATCAGATCACATACACATATACACACACAAAAAATAAGGGTAAAGAAAGTATTTAAACTCAGAATTGTCTTCAAAACTAGAAAATGATTTATAAAACTACAGCTTAATACTACGGCTTTATTCTTCACTAAAGGCCACCTAAAAATAATACATAGAGAGTACTACCAAATAATCTATATTAAAACCAGCAACGTGGGCTGGGATTGTAGCTCCGTGGTGGAATGTGAGGCACTGAGTTTGATCTTCAGCACCACATAAAAATAAATAAATAAAATAAAGGTTAAATTCTGAATAATATAATGGATATTAATTACTCTTAATAAATTGTAAGAAATCTTTCCAGTGTTTTCAATGTTTTACAGCAAAGGATTAAGCAGACCTGAACTCTGCAAATCCTATGCATTCTAAAGTTTTCAGGACTGCCCTTGATCAGGTCATCTCTGTAAGCACCTGGAATATGCTGCCCAATAAAGAGTTATTTTTCTGGGGTGTTGGGCCTGGCCAGTTTATGCAAACTCTGATTTATGAGAATTCTGTTTTTGTTTGCCTACAGTCATAAAGAAACTGATGACAGAGTGTTTGTGGTCAGCTACATGGGTGCTCCATTTATAATGACTGACCTCTAATAAAAATCCTACATGCCAAGGCTTGGGTAAGCTTCCCTAGATGGCAGCACTTGGCACATATTGTTTGTCACACATTGCCGTTGGGAGAATTAAGTATAGAAGATCCTTGACTTTCGAAATTTACAGTCTGACAAACCCCTTATAAAACGAAAATATAAGTTAAAAGTGCATTTAGTACAACTAAGCAACAGCACATCATTGCTTAGCAACCCAACACACTATAGAGTACTGGTTGTTTACCCTCATGACTACACGGGCTGATAGGGTCTGTGGTTAGATACTGCTGTCTAGTATTGCAACTAAGTATTATCCCACACATTGTTAGCCTGGGAAAAGATCAAACTTAAAAATTTGAAGTGCAATTTCTATTGTATGTGTATCACTTTTGTATAATGGTAAAACTGAAAAATTTAAATTGGGGACCATCTGTACCGTCTGTGAGAACACTAGCAGAGGACAACCAGAAGCTGGAGCCTCTTTCTCCTGGACTCAACTCTCTGCACCTTTTTTCTTTGCTATTTTGCTTAATACCTTTTTGTTGTATTAAACTATAACCATGAGTATAACAGTTTTTCTGAGTTCTGCGAAGACTTCTGGTAAATCTTAGAATCCTAGGGGACTCTGTAACCCCAAACACAAATCCAACTACTGTTTTCTCCTTGCAGTTCTACCAGATGGCCCCTATACAAACTAGTGCTTCAACCAGAAGCCAACCAAAGAAGAATCTATTTGTTCCAAACATAAAGGAAAAACTGGTTGGTATGCTGAGATGGTGTGATATTCTCCAACATGATATTATTTTGAAGGGTAATTCTGACTTCATGCAACATTTTGTCTTAACATACTGACTTCAGAATATAATTTAATGCAAGATGTGATTCCACTATTCATACGTAAAATAAGGAGTTCTACCACTGAGTATGCCCTTTCAATATGAATCTGTAAGCATGATAGTAAGAAATTACAAACATTTTTCTTTAAAAATTGCAGAAATATAACAGGCTTTTTATTAATAAGGAAATAAATTTACCTGAAAATATCATTATTTTACCTACTAAGCACTTAAAAAGGTATATATTAACACTTATATTACAAATTATCTTCAAGTCTGGAAATTTCTTTTGTGAGGTAAATAAAACACAACTGGCAACTGTTGAAGCTGAGTGATGGATACACAGATATTCATTGTACTATTCTATTTCTGTGGATGTTCGAAAGTGGCCACAAAATCTAAAACTCAAGTGTCTCTATAATGTTTGCTATTTATTGCTCAGATTTTATCTCCCACTACTCCTTTTTACCTGTCTTGGCTCTAGCCATTCCTTGAAAAATATCCTTTCCCTTTAAGCCTCTGGATGTTCCTTCTGGTAAAATCCCTCCATTATAGGTTACCTTTCCTCTACATTCTCCCCTGGATCCTTCCCTAACAAACACAGTCAATCCTCCCACATGGAGACTTTCCTACTTTGGATCTGCACAGATGGATCAGCATAAGCCCCCTGAGAATGAGTTTTATGTCTCTGATTTCCTACCAGTGTCTGCAATTATGGTTCAATTTGGAGGAATAAATACAAAGTTATCCCACTCATTTCCCTGGAATAAAATTTAATTTAAAAAGAAGAGCTCTACTAGAAGAAAGCAAAAAGAAGACACTCAAATCTCAGAATTAATTAGAAATAGCATAGTTATGTCAGACTAAATGTTAAGTTTTAAAAAACTGTATTTGACTTAAAGAAGCAATGAAGACTTTAAAACTAGCTATAAAATATCTCAAGTGCTTTCTGAATCAATGTCATATATTGATTAAAATTTATTTCCATGGCACAAGTGCTCAAGAAAATTCATGAGGCTAAGCTTTTCCATTAAAACACCAATTAAGGATTATATTTTAATACACTTGAAATACTTACCAAGACTAAAACCTCCCATGTAATATAAATTTCTTTCATAACTCCATTTAAGAATATTGCTTCCCAGAAGTATGAACTTGCTTACATAGAAATGTCTTTTTAGTATACAAAAATTGAGTCTCTTAATGTTCTCTCATTCAATCATTCATTTGTTTGCCTGTGATTCTGCTAACATTTATTTGGTACATGTTATGAGCCAGGCAATTTTTAGGGAAATAAACTGTGTGAGAAAAATGTAATTCCTGCCCTGCTGAGCCAACAGTCTTGCAGGAGAGCAATGTCTTAGAAAAAACTAGAGTTCTGCAAATAAAGATGTGTTGAACTTTCCTGGGCACCTAGAGCAGGTGCATTAAAGAATGAGGAGGGGTCTACGAGGCAGAATTGTCGTGAAAGGGGGCATAGATCAAGTGAAAAGAGGATAGAAACCCAGAGAAAACATCTTTTAAGAGATGTTGGAAAGAAGATCAACACGTGAAGAAAATTAAATGGAAGCAGAGAGGCCAAAGAGTGAGCAGTATGGTAGAAATCTTGAAAGGAAAAAGTTTTGAGATGAAGAAGTGGGAAAAGGTTCAATGCTACAGAAAGGAGGCTGAACTACATGCTTTCTAAGACCTCTACAGAAAAAAAAAAAAATTATAACTTTATGGGAACATGAAAATCCTTTATAAAGACACAAATCTTCCTTTCCATTAAAGACAAATATTTCCTATCTCTTCACATTTTTCCTGAACCTTAATTCCAAAGAAAAAGCTCTATAGGACCAATTCAAAATTTGAGCTCAGTTTTGGTTAATTTATTGCATGCATGACAGTTGTTCTCCACTAGTAGTGGGAGTTTGTAAGGACTATCAAATATCCTAAGGAACTCCTAACCACTACTTAAACTTTAAGGTGCTCTAATACTACTGCAATGTGAAACAAACAAAGCACAAGGGTTTCTAGAGTATGAAGACTTAAGAAAATACACATGTGCAAAAGAAAAACCGGAAGAACAAACCAGAAACTAATGTAATTGCTTGTCAACAGAGATACTGGGAAAAGGTCTGAAAGAAAGGGAGAAAGGACTGAGGAGAGATAGCAGGGAAGAGAAAGCAATATTTCCTTGGAAGGATATATCCTGGCGGGGAGGGGGTCTGAATAAGTAATTAGTTTAATTGATTGTATTTTATCAACGTTAATTTCCTGGTTATGACAATTATACTGTGGTCATATAAGATGTTAACATTAGGGGAAGATGGGTGAAAGATTTTTATGGAAATTTTCTGTACTATTTTTACAGCATTTGAAGTCTAAAACAGATGAAAATAAAAAAATTCAAATGTTATGTTACATGATCAAGTTCATTTTCAAAAGAACTCTATTCATTTAGCTAAACTATCTGAATAGCTCAACTATTCAGTTGGCAATCATGAGTTCACAATATGAAAAAATTTTTAAGTGCCAAAAAACAGAATTAAAGAAATAGAAATTTTCAGTTATAAGTTGAGTGGTTTTCATCTTTAGATGTCAGGAACATCACCTTCTGTTTAATCCAGTTTAATTTCCTAATCCTAAATAATATACCTTGACATTCTTGTTTGTCAAGGATTATACTGGTCAGGATAGTGCTCTAAAGCATTAGCTTATGGAAACGTGAAACTCTGGCTTGTTTTCTCTGCTCAAGGAATTGAGAAATGTTAATCATCTGCATAAGTAAATCATTCTCATCAGAAACTTATCATTCAACACTCTGCTCTTTGTCTAGTCTCTCTTAGGGTAGAAGATAAGAATGAAAAAGAGGCAGTTACACATTATTTCCTTTAAAATGTTTTCATGCCATAAAAAAAAGAATGCCTGCATCCAACTAATTTATATTATAGTCCTACAATGCTAAACATGCTCATTCCCTAGTATTTCTCATAGAATTGCTATATGTCACATTCCATATTCTTTTAATATTTTCTACATACAAGCACACACCTGACTCTGTCAAGTTAGCTTTTCTAAAGACATTAAAGATTTTTTTCCAGGTTAAAACTATTAAAAATTTAGATGTTTATAGTTTCTAAATATCAAAAATTCTTTTTTTTATTATTTAAAACTTATATAATTTCATACTGCTAAATTTTGGGGGTTTTTTCCATATTTTATTGTGTATTGTCATTGTGTAATGCACATAATTACATAATGATACATAATGGTGAGATTTGTGGTTATATATTCATACATGCACACAATACAACAATATAATTTGGCCAATATCATTTTGAAGTACTTCCCGTTTCCTGTCTGTCCTCCCTCCCTTTGGTCCCTTTCCTCTATTTTACTGATTTCCAGTTGATTTTATTGAGATTCCCCCACTTTTCTTTTCCTTTTTCCTCTGTAGCTTCCAAAATTTTCACTAATTTATATCACAGCATTTCTTGGATAGAGGTGAAATAGTTTTGATGATGTGAAAACAAACATATATTAGGTGTTCAAACAAACAAACAAAGCAAAAGTAAGAAAAAAAAAAAGTCTATGAACATAATGCCTAAACATGCATTCTATTATGAGTTTGAGTCTTCTTTTTCATGAAAAGGAAAGAAATTCTTTTACTTCTTTTTTTTTCACATCTTCATAGATGTATTTTGTATAACGATGAGGGTCTCCTTCCACCATCCATGCAATTCCCCTTCTCCCTCCCTTTCCCTCTCACCCCTCTTCCCTATCTAGAGGTAATCTTCTTCCCATGCTCTTCCTCCCTACCCCATTTTGAGTCACCCCCCTTATATCAGAGAAGACATTCAGCATTTCTTTTTTGGGGACTGGCTAAGTTCACTTAGCATAATCTGCTCTAATGCTATCCATTTCCCTGCAAATGCCATGATCTTATTATTTTTTAGTGCTGAGTAATATTCCATGTGTATAAATGCCACATTTTTTTTATCCATTCATCCATTGAAGGGCATCTAGGTTGGCTCCACAGTTTAGCTATTGTGAATTGTGCTGCTACAAACATTGATGTGGTTGTGTCCTTGTAGTATGCTGTTTTTAGGTCCTTTGGGTATAGTCTGAGAAGAGGAATAGCTGGGTCAAATGGTGGTTCCATTCCCAGCTTTCCAAGGAATCTCTATACTGCTTTCCAAATTGGCTGCACCATTAAAAATTCTTATGTTTATAGTCCCCTATTTATAAAATGAATCAAGAATGTGATTGATCCCTCATAATAACACAGTGCATGCATGCATACCTTCACTAGGATAAAGATACCACTTAACACTGAAACACGACTTTGATGCACTTACTTCATTTCATTTATTTGTCTCAGAATCTCATGCTGAGTTTTCACAACAGTATCCAATTCTTGTTGAGTGATCTGGAAGAAAAAAAGATGGTCAGCTAGTTCAATAATCCTCATTTTATAGCCTTTCTTTTCTACTCTAATCCAAGAGAGGCATGCATATTTGCATGTTCCGAAAGCTCACCTGCCCATGCTGCCCTGGGATCCCTGATCCTCTCTTAGAGATTTCTTCTGTCAGGGAAGAGACATATCTTCTCTGTTCATCAAGAATCATATCTAATTGTCGGTTCAGCTGCTTGATTTCAAGATGAATACGATTCTGTCCTTCAAAGATTTGTCTTAGCTCACGATCTCCTACACTCTCAAATATTTCATCCGCTGCAAAGTAATTATGAATTTAAATTAGAATCACCTATATATACTTATATATAAGTGATTACTAAAATACTGTAACCAAACAAAGGGTAAACAGACACCAAAATTAAAACATTTCCAACACAGTAGTATAATCTTCCAAAGAGAAAATGTGTAAATAATTAATTTAATTATGACTCTTACTATTTGTTTTTTGCCATTTCTAGTGGCTGAACATTTATAAATTCCATTTAAATTTGTCATTTAAAAGTAATTTTTTCTTTCATATATATTGTATAATTCTGTCCGTTTGAATAGGCAGAACTAATGTAGGGTGACAGAAATCAAAATGGTGACGGGCTCTGTGGAGAGGGATTTTGATGTGAAGGAGGCACCAGGGAGCTTTCTAAAGTGAAAAAAAATATACTGGGTGATAGTTAAGTAGGTGGAAACATTTTTCAAAATTCACCAACTACACTTTTCACATACTTAAAAGAAAGACGTTTATGCTTCATTTTTATCTTCTTCAAGTCTGGATGACACTGGTGATCATTACATTACACAGTGTTAAATGTTTGCCACAGGCTTTAAGTACAGCAGTGATTGTTTATGTGCACAAGGAAAACCAGGTAATAAAAACCAGTCTTAACATTATATTTTTGACATTATTAATTTAATAAGCAAGATCTGAATTACATTGGCTTAGAATAGTACTTTATTTATTTATTTATTTATTAGTTTTTGTTGGACACAACATCTTTATTTTATTTTTATGTGGTACTGAGGATCAAACCCAGTGCCCCACACATGCCAGGCGAGCACACTACCACTTGAGCCACATCCCCAGCCCTAGAATAGTACTTTAAAATACTAAATATTCAAGTCCAGGATTCTATTAGTAGTAAGGAGAGAAGTGGATTAGATATCATTTCACATTATTCTGACAATAGTTTTGATAGTTTTTAAGTATTATCTCTATGCTAAAAAGGTAAATAGTACCACTAAAAGGAGAGACATAAACCTTGGATGATTTCATTTAGCAAATACCTGCTGAGCCTCACTAGCACAGTAATGTTCTGGGTTACTTTTTAGGTTTAGGGAACATAATAAGTGTAATCCCTGCCCCATGGAGCTCAAGCACTAGTGGTGTAGGATTCATCTATACAACTGTGGCATTCATTACTGACACTAAGATAAGGTCTAACTTTTAAGGTCTTTCAACTCTTGAGGACTGAAGATTTGCTCATAAATTGTTTCCAAAAAATTACTTAGAGCTTACTAGGTCAGAGAGCAGGGGGTGAGATAGGAAACACATGGAATCATGCATCCAATTTACAGCCACCATGGATGTCAGCTTTGCTACCACTCACCAGGCTGTCCCTGAAGGTCAGGGTGATCCTTCTGGAATTCCTCTTTTTTTTTGTCCAATTCTTGTTGAAAGTGCTCAAATTCCTCCTGATACTTTTCTTTTTCTTTTTCTGAAATTTCTTTATCTGGTGTAGGCTTTATTGGAGTTTAAGAATAAATCATAAAAAAGATAAGAGAACCTGTGAGACATTTCAATATATGTTCTTTTTCTTAGGTTCACTATTCTACCACCAGCTGAAAGGTTAACATAAAATGGTTATTCCTTTTTATTGGAAAAAAAAAAAAAACTTTACTCTTGCTACTAATATGAACAACAAAAATAACAATAACCACTACTACTTGCTCTAAGTATACTGTCTCTTTTAATCCTTACATCATGAAGTGGCCAGGACAAACATCTGTTCTGCCAATAAAAATATTATATACTAGAGAGGTTAAGTAACTTGTACATGATCATACAGCAGGAAGGTCAGTCTTCCCAAGTTTTCAGCCATGAGGCATAACCATTGAAAATTGAAAATACACTTTGAAAAACAAATATATGTACTCACTGGCTCCTTTCCAGGCTCAGTCAATTGGAAAGTCAGAAAAGAAAGAACATCATGGTCATCTACAAATTAAAAAAAAAAAAAAAAAAATTCCATAATATATTATTTTTATAGCTGTGAATTTATATTTATTGCTTTTAAAATAATGATAAATAAGCTGTAATTTGATAAAGGCAATGGTTCTCTGTGACCTTAAGGGCAAAAATTCATCTGAAAGATTTACATTAAAAGTAATCCAAATTCACTTTCTTAAACCCTAAATCACAACATTTAACAATTTTAACATATAACAGATGCTTAACAAATGTCTAATAAGGAATAAACAATAAACACATAGACAAAATCCTGTTAATATATTTCCTATACCTAACTGTCTCTGAGTCTATTTCATCACATGTATTGGTTATTGCCTTTCATATTTATTTTACTCACATGGAAGCCACAAATAACTTTATGTTATCTAAAATCACATAAAATCAAATTAATGTCAAGCTGTTTAAGCTAAAAGCAGAGACTCAGCAGGTTGTCCTGGTTAGTTACATCCACAGAGTAGAACAATTATCTACAGTGTGCAGCAGTCTTCATGCTTTCTACCACTCATAGAAATCGAGAGATGCAGGCAAATTCAATCCAGAAAACTGTGATTCTTCACAGTACACTGAGAAACTTGAACAGAAATCATGTGGTCTAAAAGGCCAGGGATCAGACCTTCTTGGGCTAACCATTATAGGCCATGTGATCTTCAGAACCTTTCACATAAGATTTGACAAATTCATCTAAAAATAGGAAAAATGTGGTCTCTCTTTCCGCCCTCCCTGGGTTGCATAGAACGATCCATACATTTGAAAAGTATTTAAAACTACAATGTGCCATATAAACACAAAATTGGGTTAATGTGGAGTAACTTCATTTATTACCACACAAGAGTAAAAATGATCACTGAATCTTGGTATAAAGTTTGGTCCCCAAATAAAATTTCCTCAGATTGCCAAATTCACTTATATATGATGTGACAACACTTAGGGTCCTAAAACATATGACAATTAACCTTTGATAGCTTCAAATTTAAATATGTTTCCTTTGCTGTAAAATAGTACCCAAACTAATGCTGTAAGTTGGATACCTGTATGCATCCCTAGCCAACTGTATACTTATAAAACAATGAGAGCTGTCCCAACAGAGCCAAAGACGCACAGTAGACTATGGGAAGGCTTCAAATAGTCTTAAAAGGTTACATGCAAACAAGTTTACATATCTCCAAAATATATTATTACCAATAAAACTCAATTCACTAACTTTCAATATTAAAAAGATAGCATGTTTTACCTGCAAGACCTCCCGTTGCAGCAGATATTCCAAAATACCCTTGTGGAGGGATCACCATATTTTCTACTTTGGCGCAAAATTCATAATCATTTCTATTTGGTGTAAAGCCATTATTGATCATTACCTAGAAAGACATACTATAGCTATAGCTTTTACAATGGACAGTGTAAAATGATCTACAGTTAGTCAATTTGTTCAACTTTGCTTCCTTCAAGGCCCTGGGTTCAATCCACAACACCATAAATAAATAAATAAACAAACAAATAAATAAATTAAAAATAAATAAAAATCTGCTTCCTTTCACTATTATAAAGGGTAATTTTAAATAACCTCACTTACTTAATATTATCACACAATAAGATATTCCATTTGTTTTTTACCCACTGTGTCATATGTTTAAAATGTGAAAATTTTGATAATTTTTCATTCAAATTTTCTAAAATGAAATATGGCTCACTTGCTCTTTAAAAATTATTCTCTTTGTACAGTTTATTCAGAAGAGAGATCATATTTGTTCTGAAACCCCAGTGACAGAGCTAAAACCAAATAAGTTAAGTGTGCAAGTTTAACTACACCTCATAGAGAATTAAATAGATTGCTTCAACAAGTAGTGAGCTCTTCTTTATTATGTAAGTGAAGTAATTGGGCTGTTATAGGTTAGCAGAAACAGCAAAAGTAACAGAAGTCTCTAAAAGGACATCCAAGTTTCTTCTCAGTAGGATGTATATTTGAAGTAACGACCCTAAATTTCTTAAGAGAATCTTGGAATTCTAAGAAAGCATAGGGATCCAGTAGACACATGAACACTCTTCCCATCAACCCAGTCAAGTTGAGGTTTCACCTCTTCATTCCTAACAACCCCATCACTAGCCCTACCCCAAAAGATAGCCACTGAAATTGGAGTGGCCACAAAAGGAGTAGGTCCATGGCATGGACCAAGGGCACCTGTATCACTACTTCTAGAGTCAAAGTTTTGTCACAGACAATTAAGGTTAAATCACACAGGTGAAATGTTATAGAACTCTGTCCAAATTTTCAGAAAAAGAATAAAATACCCATCAATAGAAAAGGTTATTCTCTATGTAATGTAATATAAAAATATGTGGACTAAAAACTAGTTAAAATTAATTTTAAAGATCACTGGCCATATAGTTAACTAATATTATTATTTGTTTCTTTTTATTAGAAATAATCCTGTTTCAGTTTATATCATTTGCAACTCGTCTTTATTGTCTTGTTCTTATTTTTTTTAAAGGGTATAACATATTCATTGTACTATGAGTTAGGAGGACCATCAGGACTGGGATTGTAAAGCCCACGTACTATGTGTTCATAATTAATGCCAGAACACACACTTCATGCTTGCAATATCTTTTTCTTTTCCCTCCAATGTCAAAACAACTGGGACAAGCTGAGGTGCAAATACTAACTTAAACATTTCTCGAGTACCTAACATGGGCACAATATTAATGATTTTGAGAATCATAGGATAAAATGCCTGCCTGAGGTTATAACCATATTGGTAAGAAAAGATATAACATAGAGTTAACTAGCAATTCAAGACAGCACATTTCATCAAAGACCAAAAAAGCACTAAAAATAAATAAATAAATAAATAAAACTTTAAGAGTTTAGGGGAAATATATCATTATAAGCTGATGTTTGGGAAATCTGTGGAAAAGGGATCTGAGGCAGTATGTTCAAAGCTGAGTATGGTCAGTCAAGTACAGAAAAAAGGAGAGAACATCACTGGAAGGAACAACAGGCTGAGCAAACGCTCACAGGCTAGACCCAATAAGCTGCATTAGGAGTCCAGCATGTTCTGCAGCATGTAACTTCAAACACCAGCCTACAGTCATCTGTAGATATTAGGCAACAAAGAATTCCAGGGCCAAATAAGTTCGCAGAATGTGAGGCTTATTAAAGGTTTATTTATTTATCCTTTCTTTATGAAGGAATTTTAAATATGCTAATACATATAGCAATGCCCAATCTCATCTTACTAGGAAATTTTGGGGGGAAGTAGTACACTCTGCAGGAACTGCTGGTGGGCCCCTCATTGTATAGATTGTGTAGAATCATGCAGACAGCCTCCCTGAGATCTTAAGTGAGCATCTACTCACCATGTGAATATCTGCTGTCTGAGCTTTATCCATATGAAGGTAAGTGTGACTTAGTGATGACCCTAATGAAACTGTACAGAATGAATAGTAATTATAGTGAAACTTATGTCCAGCCTAATACCCTGGACATATCCTCTATAATGAGATCTCTAACAGCTTGGAATTCAAGATCAAGCCAATATAGTTTTCCAAAGGGCTGGGAGTATGGTTCAATGGCAGAGCACTTGCCTAGCATCCATGAAACCCTGGGTTCAATTCCACATACCTGTAATTTCTTTTTCTCCAAAGAGCTAATTTTCAGTGTTTCATACATAGGAGTTTAAGACTAGCTCATGATTTAGGAAAAGGAAAAGTTCACAAAAGATATTGATAACATCTTTAAAAAGCAAAGTTTACAATGCATTGATGATCTTAGTTATTAGAACTGCCCGTTGGATATAGCCATCTATGTTTTATGCTAAATTCAATTTATCTATAATTAAACCATGTACCAACCCTCTCATTTCCATTTTTCCCCAAACACAAAGATAACTGCTACTTTGCTAGGAAATGGTACCAATTAGTTGTCTAATGGGCAGACATTCAGGAACTATCTTTCACTCTACAACTCTATTTGTACCTCAACCCCTGGCAAACTGAACTAAGTTAGTCCTACAGTCTCTACTTGCTCCTCATCTCTCCTCTGCCTTCCCTTTGGCACCACCTTGGTGCAGACCACAAGTGGAGTCTTGCAGTTAAGATGGAGCTGGGTTTACATCAGAGTTCTCTGAGTTATTCAGTATGATAATATTGAAATTATTCAAAATCTCCTATATTCAATTTCATTTAAGATGGAGATGCATATGCCACAGGGCTATTTAAAAAACTGCACATAAAGCACAAAGCACAGGCCTGGAACTTTTCAGAGTCAAGTAGTCAAAACTGGCTTATCCTTTAAGAACACTAGGACCTAAATCATCTTTCAAAATTGTAAATCTGACCATTTCACTTTCTGCTTAAAACTAAACTTTCTTAAAAGTTCTTTACAGGATAAACTACAGGACACCCTGTGCAAGGCGTATAACTGCCAAACTTTCAAACTTGCTTCCCCCAGGTCTCCTCTATAAGTCAAAGCAAACTCTGTCTCAAATATTTCAATTTCTCTCAAGGCCCTATAACTGCCTTCTGTGCCTAGAAGACACACACACACCCTACCCCAAACTTCCTGCTCCTGCTTTAAAATGTAGCTTAACCCTGAGAAGCTATTTTTGACCTTCCCCACTCCCACATCAGAGTTACAGAATTTCACTCCTACAATTCCTCAATGGTGGTGCATTGTAGTCTTTGTTACATAGCATGCTAATGCTACATGTGTCTCTAGCATTAGACTATAAGCTTTCTGGGGAGAATGACCTTTGTCTTACTCCTACTTCCTAAAGACTAGCATATATACATATAACATGTCACATAGAGCATGGTGCTCAAATGCTTACTGACCAAATGGAAACCTGCTGGCAAGTTCTTAAAATAGATGCCTACATATACCAAGCTCTGAAGCCATGTCTGTTCTCTTAGAGTAACACTGATCAGCACATAAACAATATCCACATTTAAGTCCATTTAATTTCAATCAATTCAAAAAGAATTCAAGAAGAAAAGTCATACTAGAACATTATTCATTTGATTACTACGACTTACTGTCAGAGTTTTCTGGTAATATACAATCTTTGCCCGAACAGGATAGGGTTTATTGCGAAAGTCCCTCTGACAACTTGCTAGGGCTTGCGTGGCACCATCACTAGAGTGTGAGAGAAAGGAAAAAAAGAAACTTAGAAAGCTTTTCAATATTTAAAAATTCAGGAAGATTAAAATAATATCGAGTTATGATAAAATCTTAGGATACTTATTTCAACTTTTTATTTATTTAGAGGATACAAAGGTGGCACAAATTTTTTCCTGCCAGAACTTCGAGTGACATGAGAACCAATGTTATTATGTGCTGACAGCAAGGAGAGATATACCATTCTGTATGAGGCTAGGACAGAGGACCTCTACCATAGGGCAGAATCCAAATTCCTTAGACTCCACCATAGACTCCACCAGAAATGAACTAAAGTAGAATAGAAAGGAGAATGCCTAGGTACCTCTACTTTAGATAGCTCCAGAAAGAGTGGTGATGAACTACCAGGGTTGAAAATCACTAAGGCAGGAAATAGCAAACTACAGCAAGGATAAGTAATGTTTCTTGCAGTTCACTGACTAAGAGGTAATTCCTGTATAACAAATATGTGAAAATAAAAAATGTACATTCCTAATTCACATACATTATAAATACACTGAACACTCAGATCCTTTGTAACCCACAATATTTAGAATGAATAAAGTGGTATAAATTGTGTATTCATTAGTTTGGTCAAGGCTCAACTTTAGTTTTAAAACTAATAAAGCTGAAAAAGTAAGACTAGTGAAAGCCAGGAAGATTCTATAAACCTTCAAAAATATTGTATAATATAATTTTAGGTTAAATAAATATATATTTTAAGTTTAACATATGATGTGGTTCATAGAAACAATTTTAACCCATTTGGTTTCATTGTTCCAGATGTGGAACACCTATAAGCACATAAATATTATATAATTATATTATACCCAATATAATTATGTAATAATTATAACTATATTATATAATTATAATAATTTCAATTACATAATGTATATAAACTCTAGATTATGATTCCAACCTATTTTAATGTACCTATGTCAATTTCATTAAGATATTCAGATGTGAAAACTTGGGACTAATGGGTTGGGACACAGTCAAATTAAAATAAGATCCATTCACTAAGTTACAAAATGACATTGTAAGAAAAAGAATAATCTTAATTGCAAAGTATTCAGGATATGAAACAATATTTTTCATGCAATTTCTGAAGAGAAGCTAAAATGAGAAACATTGTAAGATCATACACTTACTTTTGATGGTCATAATGGATTTGTCCATTGTTGCCTACGATAACTATAGCAGGATTATTTTTCTAAAAATAAAGAGAATGCATTTGTTTTAAAGGCCTTAATAAAAAATTCTAGATCATTCTTATACTATGAAGTCTCTTATATCTCTAAAATTCTAGAACTCAAAATTTTAAAATAATATGGCCTTGGCATTCAAGGAATTATTAAAGTTCTTTGAATTGCTAATAGGGATCACTGAAAGTCAGGGAAGAAAAAAACCAGCTAAAGGGAATGTCATTAATCTTAAGGCTACTGCTAAACCACAGTTAATGTTTACAATATATAAGTACATTTTGTTCTTTACTGTTTTAGGAGAGATCATCAGAAAAACTGGTCTGATCAAAAAGAGAGATTGACATGAAAAGATGTTACATGAGCTAGCAATAAGTCATGCATATGAACACTGTGATGAGAGCAAACTTTCAAAAGTCTTCTAAACATTACTGGTTTCACTGCCTACATTTAATGTTTCAGGCTTATCCATCAATATTATTAAGCACATTACAGGGGTGGTGGGGAAGGCAGTCACTGCAAAGTTCTAAGGCTCCATTATGACCTCCATCTGGTTTATGAAAAATTGTATCTGTATAGCTCAGTTGCTAAATTCTCACTTGCTAAATTAGAGACTAATTACCATATTTAAAATATCACCTGCCAAGTTTGCCACAATTAAACTCATGAGTGTCAAATAAGGTATATTTCTCATAATCTAACTTTGCTAGCAGATATAACAAAGTCGGTAACTGCTTTTAAAATAAATATACCTTTCCATCATTGTCAAAAGAATCAAAAAATATTCCAACGCCATTCCACATATCGGCTGATCCAAACACAGGGCCCTCCAAGCCTTGATTTTCTGTATACCAAACTGCCTGAAAATACATAATAGGGAACCATTAGGTCAGTGGTGTGTGCATTTATAATAATTTTCTAAGTAACAGAAATGATCTTACTAGGCCATCGGCTCCAATTCGACCTCTTCCAGTCACTCGAAATGTCACCTCCAATTCCCAGTTCTCAAAGGCTGCTTTTGTCTTTGTCCACACTGACCCTCTTTGGCTTTTTAAAGATGGTGCTATTCGAATTTGATCTGAACTTGCAATAGCATCTACAGCAGAAACAAGGGAAGAAAAACTTTAAATTATAATTAGATAAAATTCAACACATCATCACCAAACTACTACATATTTAAAAAACTAATTTTAACTTTGTAAGCTGAACAATAATTTTATTAAGAAATAATTTCATATTAACAGTTTCAACTTTGAAACTTTAGGCCTAATGCCTCTTTTATCTTTGGAACACTGAAGTATCTCTGTAAAAGTAAAAATAAAATAAAATAAACCTATAACAATACATTTAATAGTCCATGGCAAGAGGAAGGAAATTATGACTTAAAAGGCAAACTACCTATTTGATTCTCATAATATTTTTTAAATACCTCAAAAATCTGCAAATTTTTTTTTTTAAAAAAAACTGTGCAACATATTTATTTATTGGTTTACAAATGTTAAAAAGTCTTAAACATTTTGAAAAGAACATACCACTAGGAATCAAGAGACTTGTTCCTAGTCTCAGTACAGCTGGGACTTTGAACAAATAAATTCTCTTACTCTCTTGGGTTCACCATATGTTTACCTGTAAAATGAAGGGGCTGAGCTTGATCACTTCCATAAACACCCCAAAAGTTATATGCAAAATATTCTGCATATATGCATTTTTCAAGGAAGAAAGTCAACTAAATTTCAATTCAGTAAGCCATTCTTCAGCTTTGGCAGATTCTGAGAGAAAATGGTGATCCCCAAAGTAGTGGTTTGCACTTCCAGTCTGAGCTGAAGTGCTAGCTCCGCCACTAATTAGCAGGTTAATCTTAGGTAAGTTATTTCATCTCTCTAACAACCTCAGAGGCATATAAGGGGTTATAAAAGTGCACATACAGGCATACCTTGGAGATACTGCAGATTTGGTTCCAAACCACTGCAATAAAGCAGTTTTTACACATTTTTTTTGTTTCCCAGTGTCAATATAAAAGTTATATTGACAGTACTCTAGTCTATTAGATGTATGAGAGCATAATATCTAAAAAAAGTACATACCTTAATTAAAAAGTAACATTATTAAAAAAGCTAATGATCATCTAAGCTGTTTAAAAAAAATTGAGCCAACAGACTTGCTGGAAATAGGACTGTCACATATCTTTGTTTTGTAAAAAAACACAATATATGCAAAATGCAATAAAATGAGGTATGCTTATATGTATTTCAATCCTCCCATTCTTGAATTAGATAATTATTAAAGCATGATTAGGCCTAAAATTTGAAAAGTTCTGCATAACCTTTCAGATATTAAACTATTATTTATGCTGGGAAATAAAACTATAATATCACTTTATAGGTAGAAAAAACTGAAAAAAAAGTAGAGTTGAGATGCTTCAGTATGATCACTCACTTTTGTCATCATCATTTTCAAACACTGAATGGTTGAGAGGAAGGCACCAGAAAGAGTACTGGACAGATAATCAGAACACCTAGATTTGAGTTCAATTCTATAGATACCAGCTATGTAACCTTTTCCAAGAAACTTTACCTTTCTGAACATCAGTTTTTCCATATGTAAAACAGATAACACCTGTCTTATCTACTAAGGAACAAATCGGAAAAATGAAGGTGAAAAGAGATTTGAGAGCTATAGTTACAAAGTATCATTTTTTTTTTGCCCTTATGGACCCATGTGTACCAGCAGTACAAAAGGACATTAGAACTAAGAAAGACAAACATAACAGATTTTATCTTAATTTAGGGCTAAACATTAAGGGCTTTGTTTAAATTAGATCCTAAAATCTCTCTACTTTTTGTCTTACATAATGAAAATGGGGAGGGGGGATGAACAATGGCAGAAAGAGAACAATAAGACTATAAAAATTAGAGTAGTAGTGCAAGCAAGGGACATCCATAGCAGTAACTCCCAGAGTCAGTACACAGATTAAGTCACGGTTAAAATACTAATCTCTTTATTTCAAATATAGTCTAGACAAACAATTTAAATGCATTAAGGTACATTATCCTGAATTTTTGCATCACACCAGATTAATAGGTTATGGCTCTATAAAGAAAGTCAAAGTAACTAACTTTGGTAGTTGATTAGCATTCCTAATTTGAGGATATGGGAGAGAGAAAAGCAGGCAGATAATGGAGAGGCGCAAAAGTGAAAAAGTATGAACAAATCCATTACTACTGAAAAATTAATCATCATTCCTCTCCTCCCTAAAACACTGAAAGCAAAAGATCCAAAACCTTGTGTTTAGTATAATCTGCATCATCTTTGTGTATCAACAATGATGTTATCTTGATAACAATTGCCCACCATTATCCTTTTGCCCAGTGGGCTCATAATATATAACTGCTGAGTTAACAACATAATTGCACTCAGATTCAAACACTTGATGACTTGGTCATTAAATCAAATTGAAATTTATAACATATAATTACATATTCATTTGCAGGTAATGGCCCTTCCCAAAAGAGTGCTTTCTATTTAGTACTTACTTTCTAGAAATGAAACATTTTATTTCAAGCACTGGATAATCTAGAAGGATGTATACAAGCCTTATATAAATGATTGCTTAATCACACATTCAGATGGAATTCAAACTGCCAGAGTTTTCTTGTCATCAAAAGACCTTGGCCACTTGTTTTAAAGGGTGTATCTGATGGTCACTGAACAGAGGTTATGACATGCCAAGTGGTAGGATTGATTCCTTAGTCAGCAGTGACACATCAGCACTAGAACCTGCAGATATGCTCTAACAAGACTCTCTTATCGATAAGAGGGCCAAACAAGGTGAATAAAACTTGAAGCAGAACTTCTATTTTTTTTTTTTCTTAAAAGGATAAGATATAATGCTATTCTTAGCCAGGTTCAGAAATAATCAATACAAAAAAATCTTCTACTACTAAATAAAGCATGAGTGTGACTATAAAGTTTCATAATGCAAAGATCGAAGACCACACCAAAGTCAATAAGAGAGGCAAAGGTGTAGGTCTAACAGCTTAATAACGTCTTCTGACATGCAAAAACTTAAAAATTACTTTAAAACCAATCTTTGTATTCTCTGGAGTCTTCAAATGGCATTGAGTACAAACCTGAGCATTAACCATTGCTAACAACACTGGAGAAAAGTAAGCAGGAGAAAGGAGGCTGATGAAACAGGTCTCAGGTTGGGATGGCTGTGGGTGGGGAACGTGTCCCCCAGAGATGTGGCATCAGGGTGAAACGTGACACCTAAAAGTGAGTTTGAGGGCTGGGATGTGGAAGGAAGTAACAAAACACCCCTAGATCAAACGGATAGTACCGAGGAGATCAAAGAAGTCATGAGGTGGATGAGAGTGGAGAGAACGCTGAGAAGGCTCTCGGAGGCTGGCGGGGGAACTTGCAGGCCAGAGGAACCTGGGGTTGCAGAGAGGTTCCCCACCACAGCGCATACGGTGTGCAACAGCTGGAAAGGGACGCTCACCACACCAGGGTATCCGCGGAGAGAAGGTGAAAGGAGGAGGCGGAAGGAGGAGAGGGGACCCGGGCCTCCCGCCCCCTTCCCGGGCTTACTCCCCGCGTGGGCCCAGAAGGGCACGGTCCCATCGCTCTGCACCAGGTGCGGCCCCTTGAAGCTGTATTTGTACTCGAAACGGCGATGTGGCATCACAGCCGGGGTGTCCGCAGCACCGGCGGCCGCGGGGTCGCCTCCCATGCCGTCGCCCCGGACGAAGCGACTGAGTGACAGCAGCAGGGCGCAGAGAAGCGGCAAGGCTCTGGCCTGGGGACCCCTTAGCCTGGATCCCGCCATCTTGAATTCTGGGACGCAGAGGCCGGCGGGAGAGGGAGGGGCGCGGGAGGCTGCAATGGCCAACAGGGCGCTCGCTGATTGGCGGAGCCTGGGAGACCCGTAGGGCAAGGGGTGAGCTCCGCCCCCGGCCACCCCTATCCACATGGCCTCCCGTCCCGGAGCATCAGTGGGCGGGGATAAGGAGGCGGGGCCTGGGATTGGGCGGGGCCTGGAAGCAGCTAGGTCCGCGAGCTCTGCGCCACGGGGAGACTAATTTTCCCTGCCAGCCACGTCGGATGCGGGCGGAGCTGAAGGATGCCTGCCTGCTGGAGGCTTTCTCCCGCTGCTTAGATTATCTCAGGGTGGCCTCAGCCTATGATAAACCGGTATTGGAAAAAAGGTTCGTTTTTGATGCGACACGATTATTCAGTGGCTGGATTCCATTTTGTGAACTTCCCAAAGACAAATCGTACTTGAAAGACTACTAATGGTCATGAATACTAATGGTCCCAGCCTCCTGAGAACAGTTCAAAAGAGCCCTAGGATCTTTTAGTTAGTTGAATCGAGGGTTTTCTATGAATCTGTCAATCAGCCTTCGCTTCGCAAAGATTAATTCCAAGGGCTTTCCAATTTTTTAAACCGTGGCAACAGTGCATTCAAGTGACACTGAGTTTTGCTCAGTTTTGGAGAGAGTGATTATGTGCGGTGAACAGAAGCATCAGTAGAACCTGGACATTTGAGATTGGATTGGTGTTTGACTCAACGAATAAATTGTGCATTTTTTTTTTAGTTGTAGATAACACATAGTATCTTTATTTATTTTTATGTGGTGCTGAGATCGAACCCAGTGCCTCTGAGGCAAACGCTTTACCACTGAGCTATAACCCCAGCCCTAAATTGTGCATTTTAAAGGAGAATCTTCCTTCCAGGGTGGCAGAGAGGGTTGGGGAATACCTGTATTGTCAAAATATTCATGGTCACCAGGAGTTGTTTTTGCTTGATGACGAATTTTTTAAAATCTGAGAAAGAGCAGCATTCTGTGTGTCCTTTATACACATAGCTCTTTATTTCATTAGCTCTCCTTTATGGGCTATGAACACAACAAGAACTCCAGGAACCACAAGCCCACATTATTTTAATTTCGTTTTCACTGACCTCTACATCTCCAGACTTATGGCCCATTAGTATTAAATCTCTTTCTAGTGCTCAAATAAAGTCTTCACACTGAATATGGACTTAAAATTTCTCCACCTGCCCATCTCTAGATGTAAGTTAAATGGAAGTAGGATCCAGCAGCAGCAACACACAAATATCAGCTATATAGATGTGTGGTTATTACCCTCGATTCCCCAGGGCTTTAAATCATTAGGGTTTAAACTTTTCATCATTTTCAGTTCTCTTATTTCTGCGGAAACCAACTCTATGCCTTGCAGAGTAATCCCTAAATATTTGTTAAGCAAACATTAAGGTTAACAAAAATAACAAACACTTATTGAGTGCTTATAGTTCCAGAAACTGCATTAAGCCTTGTACATTTATTCACTAACCAAATGCTCATAGCAGCCAAGATAGGTGCCATTATTAATATTCCCCTTTTACAGATGAGGAAGCAGAGGCACAGGAAAACTAAATAATTTGCCTAATGTCACAGTTAAGTGGTTGAGATGGATCTCAAATTCAGGTAGTTTGTTACTAATGCCTACAATCTGAAGAACCATTCTATGTTAGGCAATAAGTATGATGAATATTTTCAATTTGTTACTCATGATTTCAACTCATAGGAGACCTGAATATTAAATACAAGTTATAATTTGTAATTTTACTGAACCATAAATATAAAATATTATATTCTATGAGGTTTTTCCTTTAATTTTTTTTATTAATGAATATTATACAGAAAAGTGCTCAAGCCTCAGGAATATTGCCCAAAGAATTTTTCACAAAGTGAACACATCCCATGAAACTAGAATCCAGATTAAAAAAAAAAAAAGAACATTTCTATTGGATATATATCTAGGAGCAGAGTCACTGTATAGTAGATTACTATATAGTAGACATTGTATAGTAAATATTGCCATATTTACTACTACATAGTAATATATATATATATATATATATATATATATATATGTTTTATATATATATATGTTTTATATATATATATGTTATATATATACACCCAGACATGTAAGTATATTTATAATATCTATGCATAAATCAATATATCAAAATACTTGATATATATGTATATTTTTTCTCCACTTTATGGGATGTCTTAACTCACTTTATGTGTGTTTTGATGAATAGAAGTTTATCATTTTTTATATAGTTGAATTTATCATTTTCCCCTTTATTGTTAGGGCTTTTTGTGTTCTATTTGGAAATCTTTGCCTATTCCAAGGTCATGACTTTCCCTTGAAAGTCTTATTATTTTGCCTTTCACATTTAACTCAGCAATCTGTATAAAATGATTTTCTATATTAAATGAAGAAGACACAAAGATACACAGTTTTCTATATGCATAGTTAGTTGACCCGGAACCATTTACTAACAATATCATTCTTTCCTCATTGAGGTTCAATGAGGTTTCTGCCATAAATCAGATGACAGACATGAGTGGGTCTATTTCTGGACTCTGTGCAGTTTCATGGGTCAGTTTGTTTATTCTTGCCAATGGCTGTCTTAAGGGTAAAGTGTTATAAAAGGTAGTGATATCTGGTAGCATAAAACCCGTTACACTGTTCTTTAAAATTACAAAGGCTGTTCTGGTGTCTTTCATTTCCAAATGTGTTCCATATCAGTTAATCAATTTGCCAGGGGAACACTGCTGCAATCAAGATTGGGATTGGATTCTGCTGTCATATATACCTAATTAGAATAAATAAATAAATTAATTAATTTTTAAAAAGATTGGAATTGGATTAAATCTATAGGTCAGCTAAATAAAATTTGAAATCTTTATAAGATTGGGGGCTCCTGGGGCTGGGATTGTAGCTCAGTGGTACAGCACTTACCTAGTATGCATAGTGTGTGTGAGGCACTGGGTTTGATCCTCAGTACCACATAAAAATAAAATAAAGATATTGTGTCCACCTACAACTAAAAATATATATAATTAAAAAAAGATTGCATGCTCCTGATCCAGGAATATGATAGATTCTTTCATTTACTTATTCCTCAAAAATATTCAGTAATGTTTTATAGTTTTCTATTTAGAGGTCTTGAATGCAATTCATCAGATTTGTTCACAGATATTTGATGTTTCTTTACACTAATGTTAATGATGGTTTTGGTTTTTGTTTGGTTTTGTTGCTGGCATATTGATATGCAGTTGATTCTTGAATGTTGATATTGTATCCAACAATTTTGCCTGTCCATAGAACTTTTAAGATTATTTACATACATGATCTCATGTTTTCTATAAATATGACAGTATAATATTTTTTGCTTTTTATGCTTTCCATATCTTTTTTTGGGGGGCGGGGTGAGTAATAGGGATTGAACTCAGGGGCACTTGACCACTGAGCCACATTCCCAGCCCTATTTTGTAATTTATTTAGAGGCAAGGTCTCACTGTGTTGCTTAGCACCTCAATTTTGTTGAGGCTGGCTTTGAACTTGTGATCCTTCTGCCTCGGCTTCTCAAGCCTCTGGGATGACAGGCGTATGCCTTGGCACCCATCTCTTTTCCATAGTTTTATTTTTTCTCCATGCTTTTATTTCTCTTTAGTCTACTGACTAAGGCCCCCAGGATAATGTTGGGTAAAAGTTATAGAAATCAGCATCATTGTCTCATTTCTAATTTCCTGAGTGAACCATGGAGTAGGATGTTTCTGCAGGTTTTTGAAGATTTTTAAATGATCAGATTAGGGGTGTTCCTTTTGGCTTCTAGTTTGCTAAATTTGAAAAACATGAATATGCATAAAATTTTATTAAATGGTGTCTGTTTCTATTGAGTGGTTGTTATGGCTTGGATCTGGAATGTCCCCCACAGGCTCATGTGTTGAAGATTTGTCCCCAGTGCAGCAGTGTTCAGAGGTGGGGATTTGGGGAAGAGATTGCATCATGAGGACTTTAGTCTCGTCCCTGTAGTCTCATGGATTCATAGTTTGAATGGACTGTTGGAAGGTTGTGGAAACTGTAAAGGGTGGGACTTAGTAGACTATATTTTTGTTCCTGTCCCTCTTCTCTCTCTGCTTTCTGGCTGCCATGAGATGTCATACCTCTCTGCCATGACGTTCTTCCAAATCTCAGACTCAAAAGAATGGAGCCAACCTACTATGAACTGAAATCTCTGAAACTATGAATCAAAATAAATCTTTCCTCCTCTAATTTGATTTTCTCAGGTACTTGTCACATGATAGAAATCCAACCAACACGATGATCTCCTTATCTTTCATATTTTTTCCTATTTAGCAAATTACATTGGTTGATTTTTAAATATTAAATTCAACATCACATTATGAATAAGCTCCAGTTGGTTGAAATGTATTATCCTTTTATTTTTATAGATCTCTGGATTTTTCTTAAGCTTTTACTATATAGATTCGTGAGAGAATATGTTGTCATTTTCCCCCCTTACAGAGTTCTTGTAAGGTTTTAGAATCAATTTTATAGTTGCATAATAAAAATATTTCCAATTACCTCCACTTCGATTTGACAGTCTTTTGAGGGAAAATCACTTTGTAAGTGTAGCTAACTGTCCAGTATACACCTTAATATTCCTTTTTAATCTTATCAAAATCTCCTTACTCATAAAGGTGATTTATATGTGGAGAAATTCCAAAATGTGGTGATTGGAGAAACTTTCAGTCTTCATCCTAGATAAATGTCAAAACTTTGATACTACTAAAACTATAGAACGGGAAAATTGAAAAACTCTAGTTTGATAAGTTTTCTTTCCTTGGGAGGGATTGTACCTTGAAGGGAAGTTTTTAGAAGGGTGGACCAGGCTTCCTCAGCACTGGTACTATGCTGCGCCCCTCCCCTGACTCAGGCAATGGCAAGGCCCTACTGAGGTGGATGGCGCAAGGCGTCCAT